TACGAGTGTGTGTGTTTGGGTGTAGCCAACATTGGTAATGTTTCTGACTGTTGTTGACAGTTTGTCCAGCAATGTGACCTACCAGTTCACATCTCCTGGAGAATTCACAGTGTTTGCTGAGTGCACCACCAGTGAGTGGCACGTGACAGCTCACAAGCAAGTGACAATGCGAGACAAGATGGAGAGGCTCAGTGTGACTGGGTGTTCCAGCCTGTCCATGTCTGGGAACAGCCCTCTCTGTCGCACTGTCTTTGGGGACTCTCTCTGGATTCAGGTGGAGCTCGATGGAGGTAAATCTGCAGAAATGGCCAAGGGGCTTGGTAAAATCCTTCCTTTCTTGTAGTGCCTAAGGCATCTGACTGCTAACCAGAAGACTGGCGGTTCAAACCCACCAGCCACTCCTTAGAAGGAGGATTGGGCAATCTACTTCCATAGAGATACAGCCTCGGAAACCCAGAGGGGTCACTATGAGTCAGATACAACTTGACAGCAGTGAGTGTGGTTTTGGTTTGAAATCTTACTTATTTTGTTGTTGTTGAGAACATAAACAGCAAGACATAAAGCAATCCAACCAATTTCACAATTATAATTTGGTGACACTGATGACATTCTGTGAGATGTGCAACCATTCTCACCCTCCTTTTCTGAGTTGTTCCTCCCTCATTTACATAAACTCACTGCCCTCCAAGGTTCCTAAGTCATCTTCCCAGTTGCTTCTGTCAATTTGATCCCATACAGATAGTTCTTAAAAAAGCATGATGCTCAAGGCATCATTTTGATTGCCATAGCTGCTGGGGGAGGTACTACTGGCATCTAGTGGGGAGAGGCCAGGGATGCTGCTGCGGATCCTGCAGTGCACAGGACAGCCTCCCTCCATGAAGAATTATCAGACCCCAAATTTCAATCACGCTGAGGTTGAGAACCCCTGCGCCTGAAAGCTCCATGATGACAGGTAATATCTGTCTCATCTTTATGTTGTGACCCAGACATATTTCTTGATATCTATATCCATAAGTGATGGACCCAAATTATCCCCTTCTTCCCAAAAGCATGTTTGTATCCAAGATACCAAACATCTGACTGTCAAGACCCTGGGCACCAAGACAGAAAGGAGAGTGAAAGGAGGTTGAGAAGGGGGCCACCAACTACAAGTATCTTCAACAGGAACCGCCACATGATAAATCCCAAATGGTTCCCCAAAGCTCTCTTCCTCGTGGGAGAAGTTTCTGTTGAGTCCTGTCACCTCAAAGGTCAGTTTCTCAGGAGTGTCACGAGCCACTGAGATGTTGATCAGTAGGTCCTGTCCAAGTTCCAAATTGTCAGAAGTCCAAGAGGCCTGTAGCCCCGACAGTGGCTCCACCAAGTGGACGGTGATGTTGCCAGAGAGCTCAGAGGTGGTGGTGTTGCTGATGGCTCGGATCTCCAGCTGGTGCATCCCAGGGCCCACCAGCTGCTGGCCTGCTCTGTCCAGGGTCAGATTATGGGGAAGTGGGCCCCTCAGGGTGGTGCACTGTGTCAGGGTTATATTACCCAACAGCATGGTGTAAGTGACCCCTGTTCCTATGTAGGTAAGCAAAATTTTAAAATGTTGGTAACCAATAAGTCATCTTGTCATCCCATCAGCCAATCAACAGCCAGTGATTATGGTTTGCTAGTTCAGACTCAAGCTCTGAGGTCATATTATGGATATAGATGTCAAGAAATATGTAAGGATGCACTCCCAAATATTAACAGTGACTATCTCTGTGGTTTGGGTTAATGGGTGATTTTCTTTTTGTGTCCTTTCTATTCATTTGTGTATTATAGTTATACTACACAAGTGTTATCCATATACATAAAATTTTAACTAAGAAATTAAAACATTTTGTTAATGGGGACATCCTTTGGGGGAGGAAGGCTAAAAAGGGAACATCTCTTGTGGGTGTGGGCCAGTGTACCTCTCAACTGCCTCCTTCCTGGAAAGTATATTTCTGGAGTCAGTGAATGTTGGGAAGGCTGAAGGAATGAACGTGTCACAAATGAGGGGGAAGAAGGGGATAATTTGGGTCCATCATTTAAAGTCAAGCCTTAGAGCCTTGCAATTCAAGGCCTGATTCTTGGACCACCAGCCTAGGGATCACCTGGAGCTTGATGGAAATCTTGGGACACAACCCAGACATACTGATTGAGAATCTGCATTTTAACCACATTGCTTGGTGATCTGTAGACACATGAAAGTTTGAGAAGCATAGAGCAATAGTGGATACCAAAAAAAGAAAATAAAACAATAACAACAACGAAAAAAACCCAATAGTGGGTAGTTAGAGCTAATTTTCATGCATGAGAATCAGCCTCAAGTCTTGTTTTAAGCAGGAACCAGTGAACCCCTTTCCATCTCACTGCATTGGTGACTCCCTGAAACCCTGCTCAACATGAAGACTGAGCCTGTTCTCATTGAGAGGGGTGCTCCATCATAGTTTGGGCTGGCTGTCCTAACTGGATGATGAATATTGTGGTTAACTCTTGAAATCTGATTTTAACCAACAAATTAATTCTTTCCAATAGAGGAAAACAAGCTGTTACATTTCTTCTCTGGGTGAAAATTATGATGGTGATGAGTTAATGATAATAATGATGTTAACACTGTGACCAGAATGGACACTGTGACCAATCAGAAACGGCACTGTGGCCAGTTAGAACGGATGCCATGACCAATCAGAATCGATGCCGTGACCAAACAGAATGGACATCTTAACTAATCAAAGTGGACATGATGACCAATCAGAATGGCCTCTGTAGCTAATCAGAAAAGACACTGTAACCAACCAAAATGATGCCACCCAACAGTTGTTAAGGCTATACCAGTGTGTGCAGCTGAACGTCAGCCCTAACTGTGGGCAACATAGTTGTGCCAAACTGGCAGTGCTGGCTCTACGGAGATGGGCTCATGCCTGGCTGATAATACTCCCAGAGCCACTCATCCTATTCAAATTCCTCAAAATGGGAGTGCCTTCAATATTGATGACAGTTTTTGTGATGGAACTACTGGCATGCAAAGAAGGGCCTTTAGAAGACAGAACTCTTACTAGCTTACTAACCTTGTGACTGTGGGAAAATTTCTTAACCTTTCTGTGCTTCCATAGTATATATTTCATGAGGTGGTTGTGAATACTAAGTAAGCTAATACCAGTAAAGCACCTAGAAGTATCTAGAACACTTTGGTGCTAAATGAATGAATAAATGTCTGTGGAATTGCATTTAGAATGGAATGGCACATGATTACTGTCACTGAATATTTGGATCGAAGATTCTGTAGAAGAATCCTGATCAAAAGAGGGCAAATGCAGAACAGAATTTCAAATTATCATGGACTTTAGACTTTCTAGAGCCATGAAGGCTGGATGAACCCCTGAAACTATTGCCCTGGGATGATCTTAAAACCTGAAACCAAAAATATTTCCTAAAGTCATTCTAAAACTGGATAATAACTTAGCTTAACTGGTGAAAAGAAGAAGAAGAAGGTTTGCCTTGAACATCATGCTTTTTTAAGAACTATCTGTATGGGATCAAATTGACAGAAGCAACTGGGAAGATGACTTAGGAACCTTGGAGGGCAGTGAGTTTATGTAAATGAGGGAGGAACAACTCAGAAAAGGAGGGTGAGAATGGTTGCACATCTCACAGAATGTCATCAGTGTCACCAAATTATAATTGTGAAATTGGTTGGATTGCTTTATGTCTTGCTGTTTATGTTCTCAACAACAACAAAATAAGTAAGATTTCAAACCAAAACCACACTCACTGCTGTCAAGTTGTATCTGACTCATAGTGACCCCTCTGGGTTTCCGAGGCTGTATCTCTATGGAAGTAGATTGCCCAATCCTCCTTCTAAGGAGTGGCTGGTGGGTTTGAACCGCCAGTCTTCTGGTTAGCAGTCAGATGCCTTAGGCACTACAAGAAAGGAAGGATTTTACCAAGCCCCTTGGCCATTTCTGCAGATTTACCTCCATCGAGCTCCACCTGAATCCAGAGAGAGTCCCCAAAGACAGTGCGACAGAGAGGGCTGTTCCCAGACATGGACAGGCTGGAACACCCAGTCACACTGAGCCTCTCCATCTTGTCTCGCATTGTCACTTGCTTGTGAGCTGTCACGTGCCACTCACTGGTGGTGCACTCAGCAAACACTGTGAATTCTCCAGGAGATGTGAACTGGTAGGTCACATTGCTGGACAAACTGTCAACAACAGTCAGAAACATTACCAATGTTGGCTACACCCAAACACACACACTCGTA